GTAACCAAGAAAATCAATGCAAGTAAATGTGAAGGGATAAAAGCGGCAATGGAGGGGGAGATGAGGCAATGGGGCCGGGTTTCACAGTGCTGCGGAGTCAGTGCCAAGCACTCCTTATCGTTTTGATAAGATGGGAGATGGATCTCTAGATTGTATAGTGTTTTTGGTTATGAAGTTATGAAATTTGAATGTGAACCATTTCTATAAGAGAAAATGAGAACTAGAGTGGCTTATTGAACTATATGAAGAAAAGGAGTAAGTCGTTCGATGTGACCTCGTGCTCGATCTCCAAGGTCCACTCCATGTGGGAACAAGTGGACATCTGACCTCATTGGAATGTAGAGAAGCCCTGCTTTCTTCCAGAATTTCTCCCAAATGTATTCAGAATAATCTAAGAGATATATCTATTTCGGTCGTTGTCTGTGTCTAAGCTTTTCTCAAACCCTTCACCCAGTCACGCAAGACATTCTTCCGGATTTTGCCAGTGCTGGTCTTAGGCAGTTCAGTAACCACTTCCACTTCTCGAGGAACCATAAACTTGCTGATTCCGCTTGCATTTCGAGCCCAGTCAATCACATCTGAGCCTTGTAAGCACTTACCCTCCTTCACTGTAACAAAGGCTTTGGGTCGTTCGCCCCAATGAGAGTCGGGAACAGAAACAACACCAGCCTCCAAAATGTCAGGATGCATGACTAGCATAGACTCAAGTGCAACAGAGGAGATATTTTCACCACCTAATCATTGTTAGCAATCTAGTCTCTTGGAAATTGAGCCGCTCACCACACATACCACTGATGATAATATCCTTTGCGCGATCAAGAATCTGAATCGCTCCATCGGGATGCCAGACAGCCAAGTCTCCGGAGTGTAAAACACCTCCCACAAATAGTTTCCGAGTTGCCTCGGGGTCCTTGTAGTATCCTTGGGCACAGATGTTTCCAACAAAAACAATCTCGCCAATCTCCTGGCCATCCTTGCCAACATCAGTGATGGTCCCTTCAGGCACTTCGGTCTTGATGACCCGAGCTGGAAGACTTGTAATAAATCCGTGGCCTTGGCGGGCCATCCTTTGGTATTTTTCCTTGAGAGGAAGGGTGTCCCATTCTGGCAAATAGTAGCCCTTGGTGATTGGGCCATATGTCTCTGTCATTCCATAGACATGTACAGGGTGCAAGTTTAAGTCAGTCATTTGCTCGAAGAGAAGGGGCGTGGGTGGGCTCGCTGCCACCGTGACGCGGACAGGCTGAGGCAGTTTCTCTGCTTCTTTCGCGTTGCAGAGCAAGGTGTTTACAGTCGGTGCAGCATTGAAATGGGTGATATGCTCCTCTTTCAGCAGTCTCCAGATCTCGGGGTAGTCTATCTTGCGTAGGCAATAATGGGTTCCGCGGACGGCTGTGACCGCCCATGGAAATGTCCAGCCTATAATAAATACGTATGTTAGTCATGCTGATCGATTTCAGATCACTTAGGTGAAGAAGATGCACGAACCCATAGCGTGGAACATGGGTAGCGTCCATAGATAACGAGCACGTCCGCGATGGTAGTTTAGACCAGATTCAATGACGTTCCCCAATGTTGCCAAATAGCAACCCCGATGAGTGAACTCAACGCCCTTGGGACGGGCTGTAGTCCCGCTGGTATATGACAACGCAAGTGTGGACTCTTCATTGGCAGCCTGGCTCTCGAGTCCTTCCCAGCCCTGAGAACCTGTATCCATGTCGTGCCTAAGGCCTTCCAAAACAGCCTCATCAAAGGGACCCGTTAGTTCACCCTCAGTTGCATCAGTGTCAGTATCTACGATAATAGGGATGTGGGGGTATTGAGATCGATGTTTCTCCAAAAGTGGAACATATTCCTCGTCGACGATGATCACTTCTGCATCACCATGATCAAATATATAAGCAATGTCCTCTTGTTTCAGACGATAATTGACAGCTGCAAATATATTAGTCTAATTGATATCTCTCCCGAGAAGACAGTTGAGTTACCGATGTTGACAGCGCCAGCTGCGGCGATTCCAAAAATCGACTCAAGGAACGCTGGGGTATTCGGGCAGAGTATTCCCACTCTGCTGAACCCATGTTTCTTGAGGTAGTAAGCCAAACCCCTCGCTCGATCTGCAGTCTCGCCGTAGCTCCTGCGAAGAATCTTGTTGTTGGCGGTCACATGGTAGATTGCCTCAGCCTGGGTGGTTCTTAATTAGACGATTGAAGTACTACTACTTAGGCGCCACTTGCAATGAGCTTACATTGGGTTCAACGGCGGCAGCACGCTGAAGAAAGAAAGTCGGGGATAGTGTATGGGTATTAACACGGTGTTCAACCGGCGGTGTTGAACCTGTGAAGTGACCAAGCAGGCCAGACAACCGAGACTTTGAACCAGACATATTACACCGGGGGGGTGTAGATTGCACAAATAAGTGTGTATTATCAGCAGAGGAATGCCAATTTTGAGGGATGAAGGAGTAATGGTTGGATTATGCAGAAGAATTGCAGAAATATAGTGAATTACTCCAAGTTGGAGAAAATGCGGGGATACTGGTACTAAGGCGGTTAACCTAGGTTATGCCAATCATAAGCGGGGGGTTCGGGTACGAGTTCTGGGGTATCCGGGCTAAGGGATTTAAATATGGTTTCAATTTCGGGGAATGCCTTGAAATGTTGATTTACATGGTACTCTCACTTCAATTGATTATGATTATCATACATAGATTGGTTTGTGACTGTGTGGAGACAAAAATGGTGGGTACTGAGTCACCCCAGAATCCCAATTTGGACGGAATTTAAGTGGATGGCATCAATTCATATTATAACTGGGTACAATATATAATGGATATAGGGAAGCATGGGGATACATATAGGCAAGATACATTATGTATGTGTGTGTAAATGTACTACATATGGTATGAAAGACCATACGATAGTTATAGGTTACCAAGTAGAAAAGATAATAGGTCAAAGTATTTTTTGATCATAAGAATCATGTTGAACTCTTGAAAATTGTTTCTTTGGATTAAACCGCCACGGCGCGAGTCAACGGCCAGCTATTTTGAACCTTTAATCCCTATCGACTCCGTTTTTTTCGACTTTTGAAAATTCCGAAGACCCCAGTCCCCGAGCCGTCATGTGCGTCACAGACAGTGGTATTCATGAGTTGGGGAACCGGGCCGCAGAAAAAGGTCGGTCGGCTTGCCGTTCAAATTCGCTGAAAGAAAACCGTCCGCGATTCCATCCCAGAACCATCGCTCGACACAACAACCAGCCGCGCTAAAGGTATCTAGTAGCCATACTGAGCAAGCTGGGTCTTGGTCTTGCTGTCCACGTTCGCTCCCTGCTCGGCCTTGGCAAGGACACGGCGAGCGGCCTTCTTGCGCTCGTAGTAAGCCTTGCTCTTGACCTTTCTGCGCTCCTCGAGTCTATAAAAATTGTTAGGATTTGTCGATTGACCGAGTAGATCACTCTCAGGTGATAACTCAAGAGATTGTACATACCGAGAAACAACATCCTGGTACTTCCAGCCAACCTCGTGGCTGAGACGGCCAACGGTGCAGTACTTGCGGCCGGGGCGGAGACGCAGGACACGGAGAGCCTGGGGAACAACGACGCGCTTCTTCTTGTCGTAGGGAGGGGGAACACCCTCGAAGACCTTAAGGCGCTCCAGAGCGGCGGCACCACGGGCGGTCTTGTGGGGCATCATACCGCGGATGGCCTTGTAGAGGATGCGGGAAGGAGCGCGGAAGTGGAAGGGACCACCACGGGTGGGGTTGAAACGAGTCATCTTGCGAAGGTAGGCGTGGTACTTGACTGTACGGCGGAATTTCGAGTCAGCTTTCTGATACCCAAATTGCAGTGCATTTCCTCCATAAAGTTGGCCAAATGCCATATAAGACAACTGCCAGTGGTTTCGATTTGGGTGTTGTAGGTCACTTCTTTTCTCCTCACTGATCCACAGTCCCCAGTATCACACAGAACGCAAAGGAAATATATTCGAGAAGGGGTTGAACGTACGCTTCGCGCGGAAGAACTCGCCGGAGATGTTGAGGGCCTCACATCTCACAACGACGATCTTCTGACCGCTGAGCAGCTGCTTGGCGACAGTGCTGGCCAGACGACCGAGGAGGTGTCCCTTGCCGTCGATGACGACCTATTTCCAAATGATTCAAGTCAGCGAAAGATTCGATATGCACACTTTGGGGGCTAGAGTGGCGGCACTCAAGTCGTTGGGTATAAACGCACCACTGATTCGAAGGAGGACATCCTGGTGATCTAATGTCCCGTGGGATGGATGTTGTCGGCGGTTGTTGTCGTGGGTGTCAAGTCGACGCACACAACGAAGTCGGATGGCTCGATGAGAATGGGCTAAGCGAGGGTCCGCTCACTTTGTGTTAATGGCAAGGGTCGCAGCCCTAAGCCTGACCAATCACGGGTCATGTATGTCACGTGCTTTGTCTCTCCCAGATCCGCTCAGTATCGTATTACGTAATACTTTAATTTCTCATTGTGCGCGATGGTGGTTCTCTTTTCTTTGTGCCGTTAGGGCATCGGCTTAGGGCTGATTTACTCTGTTCTAGAAGGTTATTGTGAGATCGACTGATTATCTTGAACTTGGAAGGGACGGGGTCGAAGCCTTTTGTATAGTTCCAATGTTCTGTACCAACTCTTTACATTATACTGACGAATACAACTACAAATCCCCTTTTACGTCCATATAAACATGTGTCTTGCTGTAAAGAAGTCTATCTTATCGTCTTCTTTGATACCAGATCTATGATCTAGCCAACTTCAGGTGGAAACATTGGGTCCGATGACTAATATATCCAAGAACCCGCCGTCCATCTCGGGAGGTCATTGTTTTTTTCCCCCATAACAAAGGCCAACGAGCCTTCCCACTGGGTTTCATATCCCACCCATCCTATTCGATTGCAATCCTATCGCATACCATTATTCCAACTTGATTCTCCATTTAGATATTGAGGCCAGGGTTCTCTCTATTCTTGAGTCATGCGACAAAAGACGCGTTTTGTCTGCGTGTCTGATACACACGGATATACGCCCTCCGAAGCGGGCTTCAAACTACCAACAGGGGATGTTCTGATTCACGCCGGCGACTTGACAAATAATGGAAGCCTAAAAGAGCTCCGCAAGACAATGGATTGGATCTGCAAGGCCGACTTTGAAATCAAAATCATAGTTGGTGGTCAGTCTTTCGACGCGCCCAATTCGCACTTGGCTTAATCCCAGGCATTAACGAAAGTTATATATTCGCTGCTCAACAAAATGCACCGTTTCATTAGCATGACAAGGTCAACACAGAGCCCCTAACCTTTTGAACAGGGAACCACGATGTCACCTTGGACCCGGCCTTCTACGAAGAGCATGGACAAAGCTTCCATGGCCAGCATCTCGAAGATTCACAACACTGTCTAAATCTCGTCATGGGCTCGCCGTCGGTCGTTCTACTTCGCCACGAGCCTGCCCTGATTCGCTTGACGCGAGCGGATGGACCGAAGACAGTATTTAAAATATTTGGGTCCCCGTACTCACAATCCCAGAGGAACTGGGCATTCGGATATGAATCAAGTGATGCTGCTGCACTGTGGGGTCAAATACCAATCGACACGGACATCGTCGTCACGCATACGCCACCACGATCTCACTGCGACCAGAAACCGAACGGAATGTCTGCTGGGTGTGTTGCGCTCCGTAGTGCATTGAGCCTCATTAGGCCGCACTTAGCCGTTTGTGGACATGTGCATGAAGGACGAGGGTACGAACGAGTTCTCTGGCGAGGCAAGCTTACCAACACAGAGACAGAAACAGAAACACAGCCTGATCCTGATTCAGTTGATTATGTAACTCGAGGCATGCTGCCACCCATGGGCAGCAAGAAACAGAGCCTAGTCGATCTGACCGGCAAACGGGATAAACCACTAGACAACGAGGGGTTTTCGCGCCCTGGGAAAAGACAGTATGATCTGGCAAAGACTCAACCGATATCATCAGCCTCACCGGGGTCAGAGTCACCTGCTGGCGTCCCTAAATCACCTGCTGGCGGCCCTAAAAAGGCAAGTCCACAAAACTCGCCCAGCGCTCACCCATCCCTGGGTGCGGGTAGCCCTGGCTCCAGTAGCCGTGATTTTGATTACGCCTTGGAAACACTAAGAAAGGAGACCTGCATTGTCAACGCCGCTATCGTGTCTACCAGCTGGCCGCACCAGGGGGGCAAACGGTTTAATTCGCCGATTGTGGTCGATCTTGAGCTTCCCGTGTGGCAGGACAACCACGCGGTTGCGAACGGGTGAATGTGTTTCCCCATGGAATTAAGCAACTTTTTGGAAATTGCACTTTATTCTTCCTCGTCGATCGTAACGGCAATCTTTCCTTTGCTTTGGCCTTGCATGATGGCTTGATGCCAGATTTACCATCTCCCTGGGACATATAGTGACCTTGTGGGCTTTGGCCCTGCTGACGCCAGTGGTTGGACGCCTTGATGCTTCATGGCTTTTAACATTGGTCGGCTAGTGACTTGATGCACGATCCTAGTGCTGTCAGACTGTCTACGCCTACATCATTTCTTCAACCGTGCGCCGCATTGGCCTCTATTTTGATAGGTAAACCTGTCAGACTGTCAATGTAACTCGAGCATAAGCTCGATACGCCGTCCTGTAGGGATACTTGTAACAGATTTGAATATTCACCAGATTAATGAAAAGAAGATAATAAGAAATTCCGACGATTCGCTCTCCTTCTCTCAAACCGCACAAACACCGGACTACCCCTCTTGTCTCATGTATAACTACCCCGCATGCAATGTACAAACCCATCTGACCGATCGCAATCACATCAAGCCACACGCGCCTGTGATATCACAACTCGAGTTCATGATTATCATCACCGTAAGTTCCCAAGCGGTACGAAGTACACAAGTCATCTGCAATGGGGATCTTCCCCAAAACTCAAACCTTCCAGAAACCGCAGCGCTTCCCAGCGACCTTTTACTGGCCAGCCTTTTGAGCCCGCAAGGAGCACCAAAACTTGAGCCAACCAATGCATGGCTTATCCCACCCTCTCTGTTTGGTACCCGATGTGACCATGCGTGGCCGATTATGTATTAGTCATGGGAGGTTGGGAGTTTTCCAAGGTTGTGTTTGTGTTCGGTTCTTCAGCAGGGATTTGGGACTGGAATACACTCACACACACACACACCACCCTCGTGGGAAACACATGCTTCTCGCAAGGGTTGTTGCTTATTCTAGCACACTCCTTTCTAGAAGGCGTTTAGTGGCTGGGCGGAGAGATCTGGTCGCATTATTATGTACGGAGTACTCTGTACAACATAAGTACTATGTAATAATAGTAGAGATTACTAGTTATTGCCAGAGGATACAACTAATACTAGACATCATTATTGCAGGCAACCTGCATTGCATCTGCATTCCTATTTCCCGGGTAGCAAACCTAGGTACCACCGTTTCGAGCCATGGTATCTGCAATGCATTCTCCGTATGTACTAGTTAGTTAACTAGTTAGTAGTTTATGTACAGATATTGCCATTTGTAACTTGGTTACCTAGTTAGCTGACCAGCTCCGACCTTTCGGTGTTACTATTATTTCTAACTATACTTCCAAACATACACTTTCCCATCTGGCTCTCAACGTCCAATCCTGAATTCACCGACCCCCGATCCTAGTGGGGTTGCGTGACTGTTAGGGAAGAGGGGTATCTGTAGATCACGGTTTAAGCGCATAAGGTTACAACCCTGTGTTTCGGAGGGGGGCTTTGTGTGACCTCGCGAGCACTGCTGATGGGATCGGAGGATTATGGATTCGGCTGGTGCAGTCTAGTTGGAAAGAGCGAGAGTGGTCTAGTTCTATCATTTGCCTGGGGATAAATCGACCACTCCCAGACCGAGACAGGGTATATAGCACGATCGCTATCACTATCACACAGAAAAACTATCAAGTGACGAAGGTTAGGGAGAACGGAAAGAGTAAGGGCTATAGAGTTAGAATATTTGAGGCAGAAATTTGAATAGGCCATTCTCGCCTTGAGATAGAGAGACCTTAATAATACTCCGTAGTTACTAGATTACTATGTTGTAGATTGAAAGATACATGAGATTATTAGTAAAATGGAGACTAATTAGGCAATAGCGATAGTAATACAGAGTAGTAAGATAATATAATGTGGTGATGCTGACACGGCGTTAACTCGCTCGGCATTTGCACCTTTTCCAATAATCTTGTCATGATCGGGGCTGGCACACGCATCAGCTCCGTTCAACATCGGTCTGGATAATTCCTGCGCCGCGTGGACCGCAGTACTGGGTCCAGATGACTTGGAACCAATGGATAGGCCGAACTGTCCGAGACAGAAAGGGTACAGAGTACAGAGTACAACGTAGTTTCATCAAGGTAGTCTACTGTGATTGTCTCATAGTCTACTCCGTAGAAAGGACAGATTAATGGTTGGAAGATAGAATAGTCTCGGGTGGGGGTGTTCAGCAAAGACACGTTGTATAATGGGGCCGGTGTGGGACAAGTGCCAGCTGTACCAGCTGTACCAGCTGTTTTGGTTTGGGAAATTATTGGGTGCGAATCAATGCCTGAACTGGGCAAGGTACTTGGTGTTAACTACCTAGGTAGGATCTAGATATTTTAGGTAATAATAGTATTAGAGAGGTGCATACCTATTAAATTAAGGATGAGAATCAATTATTGGATATTGAAACATGATACTACATAATGTACTAACTATATATAGAAACATTGAATATAGAGATATGCTCCAAGGTTCTTCAGAGAAGGACATTTAAGGCTTACGGAACCTTTCGGGAAGACGGGGGTGGTATTACCATGGGACAAGTCAGGCACTGATTTTTCTTTACATCGTATAACGTATTCTGTACCTGGGTAGAATAACTATAGTTACAACATACAAGGTAAACCAATTAAACGTTTCAGGTCAAACAAGGAAGTTGAATATAACTGGTTGAGGGGTATGCCTTGGACAAGGCGAAACAAAGTCTACAGCAAAATAATAAAACGAAAACAAAGCGAAAGCAGTGAGGCGAATGAACCTAAAATGGCATAAAACCCGCAGGCCACTAGTATTAGGAAAGTTGGGGATATATGCAGGAGACTGAATTGAGAAGAAGGAAAGATTAGCGTCATGACGATTTCCAAGAGAGAGAGAGAGGGGGGACTCGATCCCTTTCTATTCCGTATGAGGGAAATCATGGCCCTCGTGTTGATCGCCCCACCATTAACCAGATATATTCGAGATTTTGATTGGAAGGATTTCGAACAAATCGGATGAAGTGCTTAGACCAAATAACCGGTGAAAGTCAGAGAGAGTCTCTTGGGGGAAGAGAAATGATTTTAATTACTTAGAGGGGGGATAGGATGGATAGAATATTAGATTGGGCATCTGGCTTTTTGTCTTTGTCTTTGATAAGATCTTGTATCTTTTTTATTTTCTATTTCTATGTCTACTCCGTATGTCTGGATTACTACAAATTATCAAAGTAAAATTCCAGACCTTCGATTTGTGGCGCAGTCATTCGCCCCCTGGCATATTAGTCGGTTGGCTCGGAGTCTGAAAGTCTGAGTCTGAGAGTAGACCGGTAACTCTGACAGCTGATTCATTGTCCCATCTGAAGTTCCTTTTTTTTTTCAATTTCTCATGGCAAATCGGTCATATTGTTGATTCCTTTTACTTCTTCCTGCATTGCAAATCATCTCCAGTTTATTCTGGATCGGTGTGGAATCTTTGCTACGTCAACATTGGAACCGTCAGGTTGTTGACATTCCATATCTCTCCACCGCCTCTTCTTCCCCCTCTCCCCTCTCTCACTTTTATCTTCTTCCATCCCATTCAATTCAGGGCATTGAAAGCAAATATTGTCTACAATGTCCTCACCACCAGATATAGACCCATATGCAGTGCTTGGGGTTGCCAAGGAGGCCACCATCCCTGAAATCAGGGCCGCCTACCGAAAGCGGGTTCTCAAGTGCCATCCAGACAAGATTCAAGATGAGTCGCAGCGAATTGCTGCCCAAGATGAATTCCAGAAAGTCCAACAGGCCTATGAATTGCTTTCAGACGATGTCCGACGGACTAAACATGACCAAAAAGTCAAGATAGCCGAGTTGAAGCGGGAACTGCTGGAACGCAGACGAACGGATGCTATGTACAACGCCTCACGGGGAAGTGGATCCGGCAATCGCGAATTCCGCAATGGCCATATCGTGGAGGAGAGGGTCCCAATGGAAGTCTTCTTTGAGGAGGCAATGCGATTCACGGACGAACCTCGCTCCATGTCATCTCGCAAATACGAAGAGTTTGGTACACGCTCAAAGACGAAACCGACAGAAGAGAAGAAGAAGACTCGAGCACCGACGAGCATGTATCATCAAGCGAAGGAAATGCGGGATACGGCCAAAGCAACACATTCCGACCGTGCGAAGACGCGCGATCAGGAGCGACGACGACAGACCGAGGCAAAGTCCGAGGTAAAGTACAGTATCTTTGAATCCTATGCCGAATCCGACGAGGAGGCATCTGATTCCAGTGCTCCCCGTTATGTTCACAAGCGAACTTCAACAACGCCCCGCCGAGAGCGTGATTCGCGATCCCGACCATCGGAATCCTCTCGTCGTCGTGAACGCCGCTATGACGAGGATGGCGATCTGTCCGATCACTGGCAATCGAAGATCGATAGTCAGTACTTGAATGCAGAGGATTATATCGCATCCAAAGCGCAAAGTTCCAAGTCCCCACGACGGTACCATGGTCACGACTCAGCGGAACCAGAGTCTTCCAGTTCGCGATCCGCGGGACGGTCCACCCGCACCCGCCGTCGTTCTTCGTCGCGCGACAATTCCTACGAGCATCTTGAGTCGCCCCGAGCCTACGAGGCCAAGCCACCCAAGATGCAACCCTCTGCAACCTCCCCGGGTATCAAGGCGTCTCTCCGCCCATCATTCCTCAACACCCGCTCCGCAACCAACGCTGGCTTCACCCGCCCAAAGCGGGAGAGTCGCGACTCCACATTATACGAAATGGCCCACGAGCCACTACCATCGCGAACTTCCAAGATGCGCGATCGCAACGACTCGGGCTACTCCAGTCCCGGTACTCCTGAAATGCTCCCGAGGGGCACTTCTCCCAAGACGTCAACCCGCTACAAGATCGTCAAGGACCCAGACCACGTCGTTGTAGAACCGAAGTCATCAAAGTACCGCTCAGCGAGATCCCCTGAGCGGGATCGCGTACCCCCTATACGACAGACACCCAAGC